CCCCGCCCCCACGTCTCCCGGCTGCCTCAGTACATAGAAAAATTGTCTTCCATGAAACTGGTCCTTGGTGCAAAAAAGGTTGGGGACCTCTGCTAAAGACTTTACAGATGCTGGATTCTGCCCCCATCCTTCTGTCTCTGCCATGATTTTAATATTCCTCCTGTGTGCTTTGCTGTGGCCCAGGTACCCTGGGCTCACTTCTAGCCAAGAATTCTTGAAAATAATTGTTTATCTGTTCCTTTTTCTACCAAACTCTAGGTTCCTTAAAGCCACAGACTAAAATATATCTTTTATTCTTCTCAGTGGTCTGAACAACATTTGGCACATCATAGAAACTTCTCAAGTCTTTGTTAAATAAAAGTGGATAAACATCCTTATCCCCAGAAGAGAATCTGAAATGGAACAGTTGTTACAAAGCTATATTTTGAATGAACAGATAAATTTATGAATCACATCTTAGTACAGCAGATACATGGTCCACGCTGATTTGGACAGTGAGACAATTAACCTGTGCAATTTTATGATGGCCCTAAATACTATATTTTTCTTTTCTCTCTTTTTTTTTTTTTGCATGCTTTGTTGGTAATTAAATTCTCAATCACATAATATGATGTTTTCCACATGTGTGTTCAACATGTGATGACATTTTAACCACCACTGTACACATATGACTAGTGAATGTTTGACAGTCTCACTACTTGATTACCCTCCCCCAAAGAATTTTAAACTTTGTTTCTATGCCATTATCAGTGCAAACTATTTAATTCTGGTAGCTATTTAATGTTGGCAATTTGGATTTGCCAAAAACATGAAGCAATCATATAAGCTTTGGCACCGTGATAACATTCAGGGCAATATTTCTTTAGTGGGTAATGTTTCTAAGAATAAATGTGACCAAATGTTTGCAGACAAAGGTTAGACAAAAATAAATGTGTTACCCAGAAGCCTTACAAAAGGGATGTAATTCAGTTTGCAATGAGTATTTGCCTAAGACACCACTATTGTGTGTTTTTTTTATTTCAGCATATTATGGGGGTACAAATGTTAAGGTTATGTATATTGCCCATGCCCCCCCTTCCCCCCAAGACACCACTATTATCTATTTGGAACAAGGACAGGAAAATTTGGTGAATTATTTCAGAAAATGTGTTTATCAGTTGTACTTAGCTTAAATGTATCTCATGACATCAAATGTTTTAGTAGAAAAAGTGTGTAAAACTAAACAAACACACTCCCTACATGCAAAGATAGATTTACAGTTCTTGGGCCAAACAAATACTTGGGGAAAGGATACAATTCTAGTGAACACTTCTGAGGAATTCTTAATCATATAACTTTAATGCATTATAAGCACCTTAGAAGGCATTAAAATAAAAACTACAATTTTTGATAATTTACTATGTATAACATACATGCATGTATATATGTCATATATGGCATACATACTATATATATTTGTATCAGGTCCTATTTTTTTTTTTTTTTTTTTGACAGAGTCTCGCTTTCTTGCCTAGGCTAGAGTGAGTGCCGTGGTGTCAGCCTCGCTCACAGCAACCTCAAACTCCTGGGCTCAAGCGATCCTCCTGCCTCAGCCTCCCGAGTAGCTGGGACTACAGGCATGCGCCACCATGCCCGGCTGATTTTTATATTATATACATTAGTTGGCCAATTAATTTCTTTCTATTTTTATGGTAGAGACGGGGTCTCGCTCAGGCTGGTTTTGAACTCCTGACCTCGAGCAATCCGCCCGCCTCGGCCTCCCAGAGTGCTAGGATTACAGGCGTGAGCCACCGCGCCTGGCCCCAGGTCCTATTTTTAATTTTATTCTTATTGGCAAATAATAATTGTATATATTTATGGGGCAAAATGTGATATGTCAATACATGTATACATTGCAGAATTATCAAATCAGGCCAGTTAACATATTCATTACCTGACATACTTGTCATTTCTTTGTGATGAGAACATTTAAAATCCACTCTTTTGGCAACATTGAACTATAACAATTGATAAGTACAAGGTGTATATATTTATGGTGTACCACATATGGTGTGCTACTATGATCCCATTTTAGGGATTTGAAAACTGAGGCTGGAAAAAAGCTGTTTGAATAACTGTCAACAGTTAAACATTCTAGTGCATTGTATTTAGACATTTTCTGAGAAAGAAGTTTTGCTTATAGATAGCATTTAATAAATGTGTGTTTGGAAAGAAGGCACTAAAGTTTAATGAGTCAAATGTGTCCTCAGCATTGTGCTCTTTGCTTTTATATTGAGCATCTAAATTAATTCCCTAACATGGTAAAGTAGACACAATTATCCTGACTTTATAAATGATTAGACAGGTTCATAAAGGTTAAATTCGTTGCCAATGACAAGGGAAACTCACGAAAAATTTCTTCTCTTGCCTTGTAGTATTACATTCAGACTCTCTCCACAAATGATTGGGTCAGATTGAAGCCAGAAGACCTTTGGGGTTAACTAAAATTTTTGGCTTTTTGGATTAGGAAAGAACTCATTATGTTTTTGAAGATTTCACAGATGATATCTATTTGAGCCTTTAAAATATACATTTCTAACAATTGGATGCATTTCTTATAGTGTATAGATTTTGGGATATTTGCATATAAATGAATGTAAAAGTAAAATATTTATATATAATTCTTTGATAAATAGTAAATTCATATGATAAATACATTCTTGGTCATAAAGCAGAGAAAGGTTTTACCTATGTGTTTTGAAATTAAAATAAAAGTTCATTTTATTAATTGATATTTAATCCAGTATTATGCTAGTAGCCATTTAAATTTTGAAATTTACAATAACTGAAGACTACTATGGCTCCAGTGGAAATAAAAATACTCAGAGAATTAAAATCTTGATAGAAACCTTATGAAAGCCACTTTCCATTTTTTGTCTGAGTTCTAAAATAACTAAATATTTAGTTAGAATACTTAACTCTGAGATTTAAGAAAAAAAAGTAACAAGAAGCAAATGAAATCTATAGTTATAAGAGTGCAGAACTTATTGGAAAGTGGGGCAATTATCTTACATTAGGATTACAAATCCTGTAGTTAAATCAGGATTTATTTTAGGATTGTATCATTCAAGAGAAAATAGGTGTCTACAGGCCTGGAGTATTAACCAAATTCAGTCTCTATGATTATTATTTCTATTTTTTGAATATGTTACATCATAGACTAGACACAGTTACTTTTCTCACTTCCTAAGTGAATATTAAGTGTATCAATCATGCTTGCCATCATAATTTTTCAATAAATGTTTCTTGAATTTAACAGATGGTTTGCTTGCCTAATATTGTACCCAAACTCCAAACCTAGCCAAGACATTTAATTTTAAAGCCCCCCATTCCTCTAAAAGCTTAAAGACATATTTATTATACAAATACTCAGAAAGGAAGTTAAATTATGATAAGTACGCAGGCATATGAGCTCTGTGAGAATCACCAGGGCTTGACGGCTCTAAAATCATGAAAAAAACACTACTCAACTGCATGTGCTTTAAGTCTCATGATGATAAGAAAAATGTGTTTTCAATCTTTACCCAAATGGATTCAGTGCAATATGAGAATAGATATGTCTCATATTAATACTTAATTTTTAAATACTCATGAGCTCTATTAAAATTTTCTGGCAAAATCCTACCATGCTTTCCTTCCAGTGGACTCTAACTCAAGGTTTTGGCAGACTCTGACTGATTAGCAGGTTTTTTCCTTCCCAATCACATTACTGAGCACACCCAAATGGAGCTCTGGGAGTTCACTGTTTAAAAAATATTGCTTTACAAAGTATATTAAAGGCTCATTTAGACTATCTAAAGGAGATATAACTCAAGGTAATGGAGTGTAATAGAGAAATTTGAAAGGTCTTTAAAACAAGATCACTTAATATGGAGTTATCCTCTATATTCATATCTATACATGTAAGTATGAAATTGAGCTAATTTTTCTTGTAGCTCAACTCCACTATTAAATTAAAGGAGCCTCCATATGTATACATTGCATATGCACACTAAGACATTTCATGGTCACACCAGTCACAGTTTAATGACAACAATAACTTTCAGATGTAAGTGGTATTCTCCACCATTTACAATTCCGTCTTCACTCAGAGCAAGGTCAATTATAGAGTAGAACTATGGAAGATGACCTCAAGCTACAAACTTTGAAAAGCTATACTGAGACTCAGGAAGGGTTCTACATGAAGTGGACTGGTACACACAGAGGAACCCATTCAATAATTGTTGGGCGGATGGATAGGTAGACAGATGGATGTCTTCTAAAGAGATACAGACTTACAGATATTTTCTATGGTTAAATGGCTCCAGACGTTTTAGTGACATCAAAATTTTATAATTTCCACTGTCACAAAGACACCCCAGAATAAATGTGCCTAGAAATATCTGTTAAATCTTCCCTGCACAGGACTAAGCACAAGTGATCTTAATAAATATTTTTAGTAACAATGATATTTTCTCACTCATAGTAGTTATTGGGAACAGTATGTCCTCTTCTCTGCAAGCAATAATTTCCTTCCCTTGCCCACCCCCCAAAAAGAAATAATAAATATTAGTTTTAATATGGGAATCCCCCTGAAATTCTCACTGACACTCTGAAGTAATCTTTAATATTGGCTCATTTCTGTCCTATATAGTTAAGTGTCTAACATCATAATACCCAATATTTATCCATGATAGTATAATGGATTTTATCTAATGTTAAAAGAAGAAATTAAAAAGCTCTTTTAAAAAGATACTGTGGATTCATAAATTCAAGCTATGAATACATTCTCTGAAGTTAGAAACATGAGACAATTGTCATGAAACTTCATGAATGCTTCTAAGAATGAAGTTCTTCTGCTGTTTTTACACAGCAATCAATGCAATCTAGAAAGTTGCATTGAGTATCTACTTTCTCATATGAAATAAAATATTTCATATGTTGAAATAAAATCAACACCAAAGTGAGGAAGAAATTCTTACCACCTTCTTTAGTGCAAAGGTTGACAAGGTTGTGGACTGTGTCCATCAGTTCCAGCTGCTGCTTCTGAAGGACACTGTTGTTGGTGGTGGCTCTGTTTAATTGTTTCTCCAGCTCCTGGATTATGTATGTTTGACGAATAACCAAGCCTTGAAGGTTCTCTTTCTCTTCCTTTAATGTGTCCAACTCTTCCTTGTGCTTTCCCTCCATTTCTAAGATTTTGTGTTCTAATAAACTACAAGGAAGTGAAAGTAAGATTTAGTTTTGAGAATGCTATACCAAAAAAAAAAAAACCCACTAAAATCCTTACAATTCAATTAGTACCTAAATTTACTTAAGATTAGAGATTTTAATGAGATATTTCACCATAAAAATATTTTTAAGCGAGAGACTCAAGAATACATATATTTTTAAAATAAAGATTATATATAAAACATATCAAATGAAAAATCATTAAACCAGATATTGTCAGAGTAATGTTTGCTTTCTAATTATAATTTATTTCCTTGGGTGTATTTTTTACCTAGAGTTGCTGACTTAGATAGACCCAAATAGTTACTGTCTGGAGAAGTTATAGTTCAACTTTCATTAAGGAAATAAGTCCGATAAGAAACACTGATTAAATCTTACAGTGGTTCTGTGGGATCAAGAATGGTATATTGACACAGAAAACACAGACCAGAAAGTAACCTACCTAAAGTCACAATGAATTCTTGAGATTTTGATACCTGGTCCTGTATCATAATCACTAGCTTACTTTATTTCTCAATTTAAGCTCCAGGATGAGCCATAATGACACTATAAGTTCCCAAATCACTGCACAAATAGTTAAGAAAAATAAGGCTCCACTGGGCTGGTGGCATGATCTTATGCAAAGACTTGAGATGCTTTGCTCAGAGTGTTACAATCTTCCACTCAGGACCTTTCTTTTCTCTGAGCTCTTGAAAGAATACTCCCTTTGTATATTGCACATTAAAAATGATAGACAATGCAGAAGCACTCTTGGATCCTAGCAACTGACTGGAAATAAAAAGCATTTACATTTTATAGTGTATCTAATATACTAGTATTCCTCAGGGGAAAGGCTTATTTAGTTTTCTTAGTTCTGTTTTCAGAAGGTTCAACCATTTCCTTAGTTTACAAGGTGTTATTCAAATACAACATACCGGAATGGGCACTTAATTTACCTTGGAGAAATATAGCACTGAATCATTACTATAAGTTTTCAAAAAGGGGACACTAGGGAGTGTTTTAAATTCAATACTTAAATAATAAAATAAAGTGTGTTGAAAAAGCCACATTTTTCAACTCCATGTACTAGGGGACCATCTCTAATAACTGATTGTCTTTTATACGGGTTAAGAAGTATGGGGATAACTGCTCTTGGGCACTCCAGACCTGTGCCAATAAACCTGTCCTGCAAGCATATGGCAGGAAAGTTGCCTGTGAAGCCAAGCCTTAAAAATACCTGGATACTTCTATAAATAAGACCTTACTAATTTACAACACCTTTGGTAGTGTGCCCAGATTCACATATGAAAATTTCACATTGAGACCTGTTAGAGGAAGCTCTGTGGCTTCTGCAAGATAAGAAAAGCCACCTTTCTGTTTTGAATTGCCTTCATTCTACTGGGCACCAATAGAGAAAGGAGCCCTGCCCTGTACTGATCACAAAGCAAACCCAATTACAGTTTATAGATCTTGGGTATAGTGACTGAGGGAAACTGTGATGGTCACTTACATTTAAAAAAAAAAAATTTTGGAGATGAACTTAGGCAAGGAAATGAAAATAAGATGAAAGACAATATCTCTAAGGAGTGGGTATGACTCACCATCTTTTAGTAATTTTCCTGTGCCAATAACCTATTGCTGTTGGAGAAGTTCATGGTAAAACAAAAACAAAAACAAAAAACAACTTCTCTGTTGTCTCTATTGGGTAAAAGTTTCAAACCATCTACTGGTTAACTGGTTAGTGTATTTGCTGTGCATGTCAAAGGAGGTTTTCTCAGTGCCTATTAATTTTTGGCCTTCAGAACTGAGAATTAATCCACACAGCCAGTGCCTTAGCTCATTCTCAATTTACATTTTAATTATTTTTTTCTTATTCCTGGGGTAATGATCAGATGCAAGATGCCCATAATTTACAGTCATTAGCTTAAAGAAAATTGCCTTTTAAATTCATAGGAGTTATGGCATACTACCAAGAAAATTTAGCATTAACTGTTAAAAGACAATCATGTATATATCAAAATATATAGTCATATATACTGGATAAAATATATAGTCATATAATACTGGATAAAAATTCTGAATTACCTTTTTTCCCTGAAATAAGATGAGCTCATACCTTTCAGTTTTCCTAATCAGCAGGTAACATTCTGGTTTGGAAAATATCATGTTATCGTTATAACTTGTATTTATTAATTGCTAAACGTCAATCGTTATGTAAAATATAAAATTACAATTTTTAACCTAGAGGATTTATTTTTAGAGAGAAAACCTCAAATGAAAAAAACAGCAGCTATAAGAAACTTCTGTTTCAGACATAATACATTTTTTTTGGACCTTTGCATCAACGTTTTTTCACTTTTCACTTTTGATGTATTCCTTGATCAAGAGGACATACACAGGGGGATGGCTACGATCTGTGATGTAAGTAAAGGAGCTTTGTTTGTTTTGTTTTTCAGGATAATTTGGAAAGAGCTGAGAATGGAAAGTTGATCAAAGAAGTTCTGGTGCCAAAGGAAACAATTTTGGACACTGGCTTGTGGAAGAAAATACCTGCATTTTCTGAGTACAAGAAATATACATTAGCATGTTGGAAAGAACATTCATTTTCATAATTCACTAACTGAACTTTACCATACTTTAAAATGTACCATGACTAGCAGGTATGAAAAGACACTAACACAGACTGTCACCTAATTGACAGAATAGATATTCATGTAGAGTGAAGAAGAGACTGTTCATAGAAGTAAGAAGTCTGCTCTACATCACAGACATCTCATAGGATTTTGGGAACCCAAGTAACATGCATGACAACTACAAGCAAATTGGAAACATGTTGCGCCACTTTCCAAATGGGAAGTCTTACCAGTTAATTATCTCTTCTATTCATTTTCCCATCTTATTTCTTCACTTGGAGCTTTCTTAATAATGTCTGTACTCCAGTAATTCTCTATTAACTTTATTTATTAGGGACATCCTTCATATTAATGATAAGTTGTTAGACGTCTTCAGGCAAGGCTGATCTCTTCGTGAACCTTCCTTTGACAGCCCTCATCCCTCTGTTTCATCTTCTCTTCATATTTGGGTTCCAAAAGACTGTGTTCTCTTTTCTTTGATTCTTCTCAGCCATTGGTTATAATCTACTTTGGAAGTCGGCCCTTCTCTGTCATTACTTCCAGTATGGTTTGAATCCAAAGCTTACTTGCCAGAAAAATCTATGTACTATCTCTACTTACTATCTCTTTCTTGTACCAATGCAAGAAAGATCTATATACTATCTCTACCTACTATATCATTCTTGTACCAATACAGTGCGTAGCTTTTTTAAAAAACCTTATCTCCTTTGATTCTTAAAGCAATATAGCAATAAACACCAAGTAGATGTTACAATACCTCATAGATAGGTAAGAATTAAAGTGTCTTGTATAACACCATGCAGATATTAAGTGTCAGAACCAGGATAAAAAGCCATGTCTTCTAACTTGCTAGATTTCAAATCTACCCATGACATCCCACTGCTGTGACAATGAGTATTACATAGTCTCATCTCTTTGATTTAGTATAATGTAATCTCTACCTGTTTCTGCTCATTTTATACCAAGAACCAAGGCATCACCTTAGCACCTCCTGAGTATTTGCTACTCTCCATATTTTTATTCTGGAAACTTGTATTTCGCAATATTTAAACCTACCCATTTTTCCAAGTATAAAAACAAAATTTCTTTGCCAAACCAGCTTTTTAAATGTGGACCGAGATTTTATTAAGTACTACTCTGCCTTAACACCTCTGTCATAAATTTATATTTTATTCAATATACTGATCATATTCCATTTTGTCCCTGAATCCTTTTATTGGTTCTTTAACATTTTCCCTACCCAGATCAGTTGGGAGTTTCCCCCTCAGCTAGATATGGAGACCTCTGCACTTAGAGGTTGATCTGAAGGACAAGAATACAGCTCCACTGTCCTAAAGTTAAGTAGGCAAAGTGGTCAGAGTTTCCCTGATGACAGTCTTCAAGAATAAGTTTAGCTTAAGTTTAAGTATGTAACACAAAACCTGGATGCTGATTCCAAACTCCAGAGCACTGCTTCGTAGGGTATATTCAGTCTGTTTTTTTAACGCTAAATAAGAGTTCCATTGTTAAGTTTTGGGGAGGCCTAGATTAAATCACCGGTTTTTATTAAGATACATCATTTAGGATTAGCATTCCATAGAAGAACAATTTACGAAACCGTGTACCTAAATCTATACAAACTGAGCTAGAAATCCAAAGACAGTTTCTCACAGGATTCTCAGTGCTTCCTGTTTCCCATCTTTCTGGAAACACTTTGAGAAGAGACATGCATAGAATTTTGGCACTTAGTTTCTAGTTTGAGGCAGAGGTGCACTTTAATGAACAATAAAATAAATAAATTACCTAGACCTTAAACTTTAGTAACAAGTTCTAATTGAGTGTACATAAAGCCCTATTTAAAGCATTTGGTTGATTTTTTCCCCCTGTTTTACACAATCTGTTTCTGCCAACATATCTTATTGGAAATATCTCAAATCATTGAACACATCTTGAAACTTTCACAGAAAAAGCTCTCTCTTTCAAATTGTTTCCCACAATAGAGTTCTTAACATAGCAGCCAATGAATTCACAGTAGTGACAGTTGCCTAAGTTTTATCTGTATGAATATAGCTCTTCAATCAAGAAGGAAGATGTTGAAAATACAGAAACCTAATTTTTATCTGTCTGAATGTATTTACGAATGTTTCAATATTTTTCATTATTTTTAATACGTATGGTGTCAACATGTGTCGCAAATGGGTTTGTAAAGAGTCATTTCTCCCTCCACCCCATTTAAACAAAGGTATATTTAATTCAGGTTCAATTTATACTTTAAGTTTCTAATTCGAGCACACTAAATTTACTTGCAAAATTCGTAGTCACCTTTGTTAATCAAATTTGAAGAAAAAGACTAAATATTATAATTAAACATTAGTAAATATCTTTTTAAAAG